CAATTGTTTTTGTTGTTTTTGTTGTTTGTTGTTGCTCTGTGATATGAGTTTAGACTTTCATGCATCACCAGCCAACCGACTTTTAAACTCATTTACTGCCACATCAGTCTGACGATGTTGGGAAATAGTTATTGTTACGATTTTTGGGTGTTAGTATGCGAAGTCGCATATCAATTTTTGCTGCATCGCATCTCTGCTCAATGAAATGTTCTAGAATTTAATTAAAAATATTTTATGGTTGCTAATTTAAAATGGATATTAAATTTGTTATTGTTTTAAGTACTTTCGAAACATAATATGCAATATTTATATGTTTATGCAATATATTACAGCAATATATACAGTTTTAAGTTGGCTTAATTACAATAGTAAGTATCACATATTAAGTGTTTTACTTATTATATTAATTTTCCATTAAGTAAAATATAATTGATTACTCTATTTGTTCAAATTTGAACATGTGTCTGCGCGCTAATTACCTAAGTAACATATTCAGTTATTTGGGTATTAAATATTTTAGCATTTTATTTAATATTTTAGTATTTTATTTTATATTTTTAGTAAATTAAATTAATTTCTAACAAAGGTTTTTCAAAGCCTTAAAATATTTATTACCAAGGTTCTTTTAGACATTAAAATATGAAATGTAATAACAGGGATTAGTTAAAAATGTAAAGGAAAAGGAAGTAATTAAATAAGGTAACAAAGAAAAAGGTTAAGGGACATTTCCTTTAACCTTGTACCTAAAAGAAAAACCTAATTAAACCAAATTATTAGACTATGTAAAATTTAGTATTTAAGAGCAAAAATTATAGAAAATAAAGGAGTCTTATATTTATTCTAAAACCGAACAGACGTGTGTTTTTAGTTGTAGTTTCTTTCACACTATTCAATTTTTAAGGTCTACTAGGTGGTTCTTTTGGTTCTGTCCATTCCCAATCTTGCCAATTAACACATTTTCCAAACTTATCAGAGAATAACTTATTCGGTTTGCAACGTCTTATTTTTGCAGGTTGGCCTTGAAGTTCACACTCCCAATATGAAGTTGGGTCCCAAGTATTACGGTAAAGATGATTTTCTTCAGCGGATGTCTTGCAACCAGGTTCACCATTGTGTTCTATATGAGACATACCTAACGTGATTAACCTGAAATGTGTATATATTTATAAAACATGTAATTTATATTATTAATTCTATTAAATCACTTTTAAGATAATTTTCTAATGGAGTGTAAAATGAAGCTCTCTCTCTCTTAAAAATGAAGGTCTGAGAGGGAAATTTTCATAAATTATTACAAACAGTCTTAAGACAAAAATATATTTTGAAATTAAAATATGCTTCACTTTTAGGGATAACGACTGTGAGACAAAAAAAATGCTGCCCTCCCAATATTTGAAAAAATACCCGATATTTATAAAGCGTTTACATTTATTTAAATAATGTCTTTCATATATTCAAAAGAAGACAAAATAGTACATTAAGCATACTTATACCTCATTGTATCGTGAAAAAACAGCTGTATTGTCTTAAAAATATACATCACTTAGATATTCAATAAACCATTTTTAACAATAATAACATTTTTTATAAATTCTATAAAAAAATATGTATTGTACATACATTCTTGAAAAATATTCTATTAAAAATTGACTCTTTCTTAACCAGATACTTATTTCGCTAAGTACAGTAGAACTTACTGAGCTATCTTTAAAAGCATATACGCCTTCTTCTTAATATATACGCCAGACGTTTGGTACTACCTACTATAAAATCTCGTTCCATGCTATTGAATAGATTCATGAAGAGATAAAGGCAGCCATTTTTAATTTAAAAAATGTACAGTAATTGCTTTGATAGAGTCTATATCTATAATTCAATTGAATGCTAACCATTTGTAGGAAAAAATAATAGACCTTAGCTCCTAAGGAAGCCTAGTTACAGAAATTTATATTTCGATATATCATTTCGATATAAATACTTATGAGAACTCTACAAATTTTTAACTTTGTGATAATAACAGCTGATCAAGATATGTATGTGCGCTTGTAAACGAAGAAAAAATATTTGGCGATCTGGGCTGCATCGCCAAATAAAGATAACATTTTATTCTAATAAGGAATATTTCTTTTAAACATATACTCTACTTTTAGGAATATTTGATGATATTTGGTATTCTTATTTATAATGTAACTACTAGTCGACTTAATTTAAATCACTAAATAATATTTTCTATACTTTTTCAATTCTATATAATCTCCCAAATTTATTCTAATCGCTACAAGTTTCTTACGCATAGATTTTACCATATCTAAACATTAGCGAAATGTAGAAGATATGGGAAAGATTTTAAATGCAATCACTTCCATTTGTAGTTAGTAGATTTATACAGATCGTAGTCATGAAATATTTTTCCATAAAATATTTTGAAATATTTTAAGTATGTATAAAATTTGTAATTCCTGAATTGTAATAAATCACTTCATGCTTACGTATAATTTTCTTATGCAAACCACTCATTTCTCCCTCACTATTTTCCCAACACAATCACTGCTGGTATGCCATAAATTTCTATAGTTTTCGGCTGCATATTATCCTGTGGCAGTCCTTGCCTGTCTACCTAACTGTGCAATTACTCAAGTATGCAGACCATAACCTAAAATGGCTTAAGGCACTAAACCACTGGCACAACTTTGAAAAATACAGGCACTTTTCATGGAAATTCATAAATTTCCTGATATGAAGGAGCACAGTTTCTATTCCTATTGTGGAGAGGTGTTGCCATTTATATATATTTCTTGTGCTGGCAATGATAATGAAAAAGTAAGGCATGAAGTGGTAACAGCATAAAGCTGAAATATTTGTTGTCAAAAATTACTCAAAGCATTGTTTTGAATTAATTAGCATTGTTTGATGATCATAGTTGGTTGAATAAATTACCTTTAGAAAAGAACGGAGTTACTTAGAGTTCCTTTTTGAGTAAACATCAATTTATTATGCATTTGGTTTTGCATTCGTCTTGAACGGTGCGTATGAGTAACATAATTAAAAGGGGCTTGCTGTCGAAGTTAAAGTAAATAACGAACAAATCTTACAAAACGTATTACACTGCTTTTGAAGTATAAAGAATAACACTGAATTTCTAATTTTTCGACTAAATTGAAGAGTTTTCGATTAGTGCAAGAAACAAATTTATGAGATATTATTTCAAAAGTGAATAATGTTACTGAAAAGTAATGCTAAGTTAAATAAATCTCATAAAATATGGTAAACCACAGCTCCATTCACTAAAAAAAGAAGTCATTCTTTTCGTGAAAAATATTTACATAAAGTAAAGTATATAAAGTACATTATTGTAATTTTGAAAGTTATTAAATCATTAAATATACTCTTTGTTGTTGTATGTTAAGAAATTATTATATCAACGAGATGACTACCGAGTCAAAAAAGCAGCTACTAGTAAGTATCAAAATTTATTTATTATTAAGAACTTTTCTAACTTTTTAATTTTGAAAAATCAATCAATTTTTCGTGGAATATGTAATCACTTAATTAAAGCTCCATCCGATTTCATAAAGAATGCTTTTTTTGAAATATACTTCACATTCATTTTTCCATTAGTTTTTACTATTTTACTTTCTTTTAAGAAAATTAATTTTTTTTTGTTAAAAAAATTTAAATAATTAAAATATTTTTCATAATTACGCGAATTGCATTCAATATTACACCATATCTTCACCTTAAACTTTAATACCTTTGTTATCAAAATTTGCTAATTGATAAATAACGTCTAATCGTGACAGCCAGAACTCAACTGAAATTTCCGTAAACAACTTACAAATAATCAACTCAATAAGAATATTGTTATTTTTTACACTGTAAATTGCTTACTTTAGAATTATATTAATTAATTTAGCTAGAAAACAACTCCTCTATAAAATCAAAAATACAAATAATAAATTTACGATTCAATTTAAACAAACTTATTATTAACAAATATCTATATAGAATAAGTAAAAATAAAAATTATTTTCTTAAAGTTCACAAAAATCTAACAAATAACAAACACTTTATAAATAAAATATTTAAATCCTAATCATTTCGAATAGTTTCTTTAATTAACTTTTTCTCTCTTCGCAATTAAAAACTATACTAATAAAAAGACAAGTAAAACAAATATATAAATTATAATTAAAAAAATATATTAAAATGTGATTTTCTTCTCTATGAAAATTTCTACATACCAAAGTGAAAAAGTTTTTCCAAATAACAACAATAACCTAACCTTAAAAAATTAATAACTTCGAGATGTTCTGGACATCAATCTGCGTCAAGCACTTTAGCACTTTAAAAAAAGTGTAGAATTAATAAAAAAAAAAAACTGAATTCCAAATATAAATTAATTATTTTTTTTATTTTACAACATTTTTTTCAGTGTATATTAACGCAATTTTAATAATTTTTATCAATTTTAAACACAAACAAACCGTAATTAATGTGCTTTATATTATTTATACTAATGCATAAATTTTCACCCCAAAAGTGCAAAATATTCATTAAAAATACTTCCGTATATATTTAGGGTTTATTGCACAGGTGCAACCGAATTTTGAATCGATGTTACAGGAGTAGAAGGTATAGGAATAGATGAAACTACTGGTAGACCACCTATAGGAGAAACAGGTGACGTTGAAAGAGTTTGAGCCGACGGAATCACAGGTGCACCAGATATGGAATAAACAGGTGGAACTGCATATGTTGGTATAGATGGAACCACACGTATTGGTGAAACAGCTGGAATCACATATGCCGGTGAAGTAGAAATCGCAGGCAAACCAGATATGGGAGTTATAGGCGCAACTGAAGCAGTCGATGGAATCGATGGAACATATGGTAATCCAGATACTTGAGATACTGGAGGATATAAGGAACTAGCAATAGTCGGTATGCCAGGTATTGAAGGTACCACAGGAACTGTTGGAATGGAATTAGTTGAAAGTGCAGGTAATCCATTTATTGGTAAAACTGAACTACTCTGCTCACACTTTGGTGGTAAAGGTTTTTCCTCCCAATACCAATCTATCCAAGGCACACAAATCTTTTTACTTGCAAAGAAAGCATGTTGATCCTCACACTTCATGCTTACTGGAGTGAAAAGAGCATCACAACGCCAATATTTAGTAGGATCCCAAAAATTAGCATAAAGTTGTCCAATTTCATTTGTACTACCACAACACGGCTTACCATCACCGGAATATGCAGCAAGAGTGGTTACAGTAACGGATAAAAAATATAAAAGAACTGAAAACAAAATAATATTATTATAAATTAATATATGTTTAATCTAACCTACATGCTGCTTTCATTATAAATTGTATGCAATCACCAATATTTTTAATTAAACTACTTTCTTTACTTACTTCTTGTTACCTTTTATAGAAAATTTGGTCTTGTATTATCTAAATGGAAAGATTTATCATACTTGAAAGTCCCCCGTATATTGTTTTAAGTATTTACTCTTGTTAGTATATTGACATTTTTGTATATAATAATGATTAAAATTTTATCTTTTTATCAATACTATCATACTTAACGATATAAGATATTCCAATCATTGTACTTTTATATATCAACTAAGACAATATATGTTGCAGTTCTCAATCATTTATAATCACAGATGTCAGTGACTGCACACTATTTAAACTTGGGGAAATCCATTAATTTCGCTTTGTATATAAGCATAAATGGCCTTCAGACAGATTATTCACATACTTAAATGATTACATAGTTACAGATTAAAAGCTTGAGCAAACAACAACCGTAAGATCGGTAATCAATTCCAATTAATTAAAAAAAAATTTAAAAACAAACTTAAATATAAAATTTATATTAATTTCTGTGATAGAACATTATAATTTTAAAATGTTAAATTAAAATATTAAAGATCAGTTTACTAAAAACTATCCTCTATTGAAACATATTTTTTCTTCTTCACCCTGAAAACAAAGTCTCAAATACATCATGAATTCAGAATTTTCCATCAATGATATTATTGAGTTATAATTTTTATTCTTTAGCTCTTCGTTGTTTTCATATTATTTTTATACACCTATAAATTTTCTCACCCAAAAGATTTATCTTCAACTTGTATTACGATTATAATGTCTCCAATTAATTCTTAATTTATTTCATTAAATTTTTTATCGTTAATAAAAATGTGACATTGGCATATTGTAATATAAAAATTTATGTACATATCACTAGTGCTCACATATTATTTATTTTTTTTTTTTTTTGTATTTTTACTGTAGGTGGAAAGCATCGAAAGTCAAAGTGTGTGACTTGAACCCACTGAAATCACCTCTTAGGAATGATAGTGGAAGATCCCAGCCGC